TTTAACTATACCAATCAAACAAAAATCAGATTATTGGTTACTCCATCAACTAGTTTGCGTACTGTGTATATATTTCTACCACACCTCGACACCCCATACTTCTATTACCTTCAATAAACATTAATTAAACACCCATCATCACTAAAGATATCGTAGTATCCGATACTCGTGCCACATATTTCAAAGAATACTTCATTTCAATTCCATTTTGTAAGCTATCTAGTGACGTTATAAATTCCATATTTATCGAATTTGACAACAATGAATGGAGCACCTTCCTTTTATACTTATTCCTGCCCTGCCATCTCTTCATCTGCCTGATCCAAATTTTAGAACCGATCGCAGCCTCGGCAACAAAACATATCGCGTAAACCTCCATTAATGTCGTCATCCAAATCATGGCGAGTGACACGGTCACAGCGAAAAGGGAAATGTCGCCAGAGTTGTGAGGCGACAATTCGTTCAGAAAATATACAAAGCACACCGAGGAGAAAGATACTGCCAAAATATGATGTGTACAAGGCACTATCATCTCTCTTAAGATCTTGCTCTCAACGATGGTCATTATTTTCAGAGTGTTGTACATTTTGACAGCATTTTGGAAAACGAGTCCGCCCCGAAGCTTCATCTCGCCATTATTTCCCTTGATCGGCTCAAGAAACAGGGTCCACACGTTGAGACAATTAATACAGTAAACACATAACAGAAAGCATGTCCCTATCGTGGAATACATTATCATGCCACCCAGCCCGACACCTAATCCGCCAACGATTCGCAACACTAAATTGACAAGAGGTCCATGATGCAATTCGAAATTGTAGACAGCCCGTAACATCGCGTAGAGTGGATTTGATTTTGTACAACCCATCACACGCTGGTCCGGATTGCTATATTCTTTGGCGCCAAAACCCATAACTTTAAAACCAATGAAGCTTTCGTAATTCTGTTGACGGGAGTCGGCGTATGATTGTCAAGTGTAGTTTTGGGTAATGCCCGACACACCCCTTGGGGTGTGGTCAAAGGTCAAAATGTGTTTTATGCCTACTCCCATCATGTGGGGTGTCGTTGAAAAGCTCTTCTCAATTCCTATTTAGTGTAATTTTAGGCAAAGCAGGTACAGCCACTCCCGAGGTCAGGAGGTGTGGTCACAAGTCAAGCTGTGTCTTATAACCCACCCCTCATCTGGGGTACCGTTCGAAACCTCATCGGGTTTGCAATACTGATAATTGCTTAGATTCATATACATCCGAGGGTAATTGTTGCTGAGTATGCAACTACAAGTAGGCTTACCCACTGGATGGGACGGTACGGGATTTCGCTGTGTCGTCCCATCCCGAAGATTAGTCGATATGAAATTGTTGGGGCGAGACGGGATGGATGCCACCCCGCCCCGAGTCCAGTTCCGAGACATGTTCCTACGGGACAGGACGACCACAGTGGGATACACATGTGTGGAAGATCCTCCTTCCAAAACCTGGGAAACTCAGGGATTGGCTGGTCCTTTTTTCGGCTGCACACTTAAAAATGTAATGCTAAAAGCTATGATATGCAATAGATTGAAATAATCGAGATCGGTTTGTTTCATCATACATATGACCCCAAGGGGAGAATTCTACCAACTCCTGGGGTCAATCGGACCACCCTCACTGGTGCCAGAGGATGTGGTCGGGGCAGAATGAGATTTTTACTACAATCGAATTTATATATGACATAAAGCGAAATAAGATATTTCCTCGATGTGGCACACCCCGTGGGTAATGTTAGGGGAACATTTTAGGTGAAAATAAATGTCACACATGATTTAGTTACTGCATTCAATGTCATCTGAGCATCTAATTTCCAAAAAAATAATTTCACCCCAACCATCGCTTTTTTGTCTCACTTCACCCCATCAACAGTGTGCGAACACTTCACTTTACCATGTTGGTTATATGCATTCAATTTCAATAAAATTTCATGTTGCCCCTGACCACACCCACGTGACATCGAGGGAATGACTACCTCATTTCACTTTATTTCACCTATAGATTCGATTGTAGTAAAAATCTCATTTTGCCATGACCACAACCTCTGGCACCAGAGGGGGTGGTCCAATCGGCCCCAAGAGTTGGTAGAATCCTCCCCTTGGGGTCATATGTATGATGACACTAACCGATCTCGATTATTTCAATCTATTGCAGTTCATAGCTTTTAGCATTACATTCTTAAGTGTGCAGCCAAAAAAAGGACCAGCCAATCCCTAAGTTTTCCATATTTGGAAGGAGGATCTTCCACACATTTATTTATTTATTTATTTATTTATTTCATACAATGAAACACCCCAAAGATTGGGTCATTACGTTTCAGGAACACACACATACGGTTACACATATGTATCCCACTGTGAGGACGACATGTGTCGAAGTTGGGTGTGCCCACACTATCTCACGGTTATTCGGAATGGTATAGAGTATGACGAGAGCTTTCAAATGACACCCCACTTGATGGTGTAACGCAAAAAGCCATTACTGGCCATTGACCACAGCCACCAAAGGGCGTGGCTTTCTATGAAAGTTGCATATTCTATACACCTTTGGAACTTCATACGACAATCACCAGAAGCAGAACTCGAAAAAATTAAATTATTCTAGAATTATAGATTTTTGCACGCAGACCAGGTGATTCGGACCAGTTTGCCTCATTATAAATTTATGGGGGGATTATTTCACCATGTTCCCTTGCCCAAGGGAGTGAATGGGATATCTCTAAATTACTTATTATGTTATTTGGAGCACATAGAAATTTTACCCAAGGTCATGATTGCAGAAAAATACACATTTTGCATATGCCAATTTGCTTTTGCATAAATTCACATATCTTTGTCTATTTGCAAAAGGGGCAAAAAGGGGCAAGGATTTTTGTAGATGACATATAAGGGTTTAAGAAAGCATTAATAGTTTCTCGAAATCGCACAGGACTAGACAGGATTTTCAACTTGAAAATTTTCCCATTTACCCCCATGTTAAAGGCCAAGTTTAAGTATAAGCCACGCCCTAACCAGTTGAACAATTCAAATGAAACTTTCCAAAATTGAACATCTATATCAAAGGTACAGAAGAGGGTAATTTGTTTTCGAATCCGTGAGAATAGGTTTTGGCCAACAAATTCAGTATTCCAGACCAGTGTGCATCAGGAAAGCGAGAAATGGAGTCGTATAGAAGGTTTGTATGTAAAGTAATTGAGTCATTAATGTGCACCTTTGCACAGCTCGGGTAACTTTATCGCCCTTCCCACATTTTGGACTGGAGAGGAATTCTATGAAACAAGGGGTAAATAAGATTTACCTAAAATTTATTAGATTATGGATTATTAGCTGGTCGAAAATGTGGTTCGGCTAAACGTTTCGTCACTGATTGAATTTGAAAGTGGTTATATTTATGTAATCGTTTAATCGCTTGTCAAAAATCGAATTCTGTATCTAAACCAACCCATTCACGGAGTTGGGTAAGGTTATTATACGCCTCAATCCGGTTAAGTTTCACACTATTTCAGATTTAGTTAATTACAATGATTGATAAGGTAGAAGGAAATTCAATTCGACGGAACGTTGAGTCGCTGATTGTAAAATGATCAAAACCGATCGAGGACACTTACCCAGTAACTTCTTCTCCATGACAAACATTGTTTCAAAACAAGCTATGAAATTGTTAGCCCCACCCGGCCGGACAAAGAGGACGAACACACACAACCCCCCAGTTGCCATGGCGGTGAAGAATATCGTCATTTTGTCTTCTTTTCCCTCCTCTGCCGTAAAGAGGAGATAGCATCGTACCAATAATCCAGGCAGGAAAAGGAAAGCTGCGATGCTCCAGATTAATTGGAACGCTTTATATGTAGTGCCAATTTCTCACAGTTTTGACACACCCTGTGGTTTTGTCTAACTCGAAATAGTACGCTACGTAAAATGTACTGCGTTGCAAATCGACTACAGCCTTTCTAAAAAACTGGGAAAATGCAGCTTTCAACATTCGAAAATATGTAGATAGATTACAAATGCTCCTCTAGTCTGTCGTAGGCATCACGACGAGGGAACCTTTTTACCTGTCGATTGTAACTTTCCTTAACCTTAATTTTCAGATAATGTTGTCTGGTAAAATTTGACACAGTCTAAGACTAATCATCAGTATGGACAAAATTGTGGTTGACATTCAAAAATGTGCCATCATAATTCCTCGGACGATTCTTGGAAAATTTTGAAACACAAACAGGTTTATTTTCGCTATTATGATTTACATATGATTGTCTGGTTGGTATATTTTTTAATTTCATGGCTGTAAGATCGTCGCAGTAGTATAAAATGGTGCCATGCTCCATGTTAATAACTGACGTGCGTTTCTAACTACACACATATTTAAAAATTAAATTTCACCGACCAATTATTTAACCACTTATGTAATTTTCTGATGTACTGCAAACATTATAAATGTGTATTTGCAATGCTAAGTTAGACCTAAATTATCTATTTTTTCTGTAAGGATGTAATTGCTACACGATCTATTCTTGCTCACAGTTTTCAAAGCGCAAAAATATGCTAGTGTGGTTGCAGCTATGTATTTGCATGAATTTAATAAATTCATGCAATAAATTGACTCAATTTATTGCCACAACTACTTACTTACATACATACATATGTATGTAAGCATTTTTGTATGAATTTCCATGCATAAATACTTGTCCAATGTATTACAAAATTGGTAAATCATGGTACATGCATACTCGTACATACATATGTGTACCTGTCATCCGAAATGTTTGTAATGGCCAAGGCATAATTATGAAAATGTCTAATGTCCTGGTTGTTTGCGTAGCATAAAATTGTCCTGATGGGGTAATTAACGTAAGCACCGGCTTAGTAACCATACGACGAGCATAAAGGCCTTGGCCCGGATCCTGGGTATGTTTCAATATTCATTTTATAATTTTGTATGTCTATGATAGTATACTTTTGATAATATACAATATATTTCAAACATTTTTCATTTTATTTAATATTCTATATTTCAAATAATTGAAATTATATGCATATCTGCCTCTAGTCAATAACCCTTAAACTAAACAACTAAATTTTGTTTTAGTTTTACGAAATTATTTGTCAATTAAGGCTATTCGGAAGGATATCGAGATGGGACAGTACTTTAGGTTCCCTGTTAGTAATTGCCATGCTCTGAATCATAGTCATCACCTCCCATAAAAATGAATCTGTGCACCACTAGCTTCAAGCATCGGTCGTATCCGTTCCTCTATTTCCGGAACCTGATTTTTTTGATAAAACTCTATATAAGCACAATCTAGACATATTTACATACGTACAACAAAATAATTTTATTAATCCTGAGTCACCTCATCCCCAAAGATTTCCACCCTTTCAAAACCTCTACTGAGCGAGATCAAATCTTCACTGAGGGGGAAAAAGGTTTCTTCATTGATGCAAACGTCCTCGAACCGGACACGTTTGACGCCTAAAAAATTAGAATGTAATTTCAAGTTATTATTCAAACCGAGTCAAAACTACCTTTCCAAGCAGCCACATTTCGTATGGTGCCGATCAACAAAGACGACTCGTCCACAAATGTCACGAGAACATTGGTACGTTCCAAACCCCACGCTTGGAACTGTTCCAAAATCCGGTTGAAGTCCGCATTTGGAACACCATTTCTGAGCTCCATTGTCAAATCGAATTTCTTAACGGAGGGGAATAAATGGATCATCTTTTCCTCGAATTTCTCCTGCCCCCACGCCAGTAAATCAAAGGTCAACGCGAGAGACTTGACTCCTTTGTGTGGCCTCCACAAAAAATGGGATGCCAACGACGTCTGCCATTTTCCGTTGTTGACAGAGAGGGTTTCTAATTTTGGAAAGTGGTCTTCATTAAAAAAGTTACGAATGGGGTACACATCTATGTCAGGGATGGAGAGAGTGGTAAGGGTTGACATCACGGGAACCTCAGCAGGTTGGATCTACGATGTATAAAAAAAATATTTAGTACTTATCATGGGTTAAGCCGACTCACGAAAACGTTTCAAAATATTTGGAAAATTGTGCAAAACTTGTTTTTAAGATTTAAATTTGATTAAACATTTGGACCTAATTTCTAGAATCTTTATTAGAAGTATTTACAAAACGCTAAAAAAATTCGCTTGGAAAATTTGCTACACATAAATAAAACGTTGTCGTGAGTGCGCCCATTGTAAAACGCTTACATACAATGTTAACCTGCTCCATGAAATCACTATCATCCACTGACAACGTCAGTTCGATTAAGGAATCCTTGACCTGTGCCAGCATCTTGGTCACAATGGCCAAATCGAGGGTAGGGCGATAAAAGGAGCGATACCCTGGCCCTATATATTTATACTTCAGAACTTTCAGATTTTTGCACCCCTCCAAGTTGAGGGAGTAAGACTCATCCTCAGCGACGTCCAAAGTGGTTAAATTTGGGGCAGAATCTGTCCAGAATCGAATAAACTCGATTGGGTTGATGTCGAGGTTTGCAAGAACATTGAACTTGAGGGAGGTCAAGTTAGGTTGAGGGGGGAGTTTTTGATAAGCCTGAGCTGGAATGTTGGTGGCGCAGCTTCTTTGATGGGGGATGAAGATACCAATAGTTTGGATTCTTGGGGACTTCAACGTCCTTATTCCTTCGAGGAAAGCGGCGAGAAATCTCTTCACGGAGACGGCAAATTTAATTTCATGTGTTAATCGAGACACTTTATCGACGTCTGTGAACATTTTTGTGATAACGTCAGCCTTCTTGTTTGTCGGAACGGACGGGTCGAATGTATCCGTGATTAAGAGGCGCCCGAACAGTTTTTCGTTGACGGGGGTCATCTGAATGCCTAACTTGGTCCTGTAGGAGAAAATCTGGGTGACCTGGAGATAAGCCCGTTTTCCTAATAAAGTGACGCCCACGTCGTCCCACTCATGGCAAACGAGGCGAGACGTCTTCAGGTCGGGGAGGTTGAGTTTGGCGAAGATGATGTCGAGAATCTGGTGCAAAATTTAAAATTGTTGGGTTAATCAATTATTAGTTAATGTGCAATTTACTGACCAATGGATTCCTCGAAACTTTCGACGTTGCGCTGTTAGGGTCGACAGGTGCTTGTTCTGCGGCTGGAATTAAACCGAGTGATTTTAAGCCTGGTACATATATAATAAAGATTTAATTTCTACGACAAAAAATATAGATTGTGGCATTTACTAGAATCTGGAACACTTTTCTCCTCTCGTGAAGAAGTTAACCTCAATTTCATTCCGTGGCGTTGGCGTTTTGTACTCTTAAAATCCGCAACTTTCTCCATATTATGGACTGATTGTGTCGTCTTCACTTGCAGGAACTAGAATTTACAACAAAATAATTATGTAGCACACAATGAGCGTACACACTCGCATATTTAGCATGGCTGAATTTATGGCAATATAAATTTCAATTTTTTTCGAGTTTTGATAAGTCATATTTTGCGAATCCCCACACGACACGACACAAATTTTTTGATCGATGCAAAATTAGTTGTGATACGAAATACGACGTTGTAATAAGTACGTCAGTACATGAAACTGCAAAACTGTAAAACCTGGTTGATGGTTCCTGGTTTAATTATGAATTAGGTAAATATTCAATTCACTTTAAGCGAATAAGGTAAGTAATACTTACCTAGAAATTTTAAATTAACTTGCACAACTTCAGAACTCTTGTAGATGTTCCGCTCCGCTTAACGTGGAATATAGAAAAATACCTATTCACTCTTAAATAATAATTTTTCATTTGCATAGACACAAATAGCGAATTGATTTTCAGCTGTTGTTTATTTACTTTTCGACTTTAATCATGTGTTCGCTTCGCGGAGTTTTGTCCCGTTCGGTTCTCTTTGTTGAGTGCGTCATGAATTTTTAGCCCGAACCAGGGCTTATGTAATCGTCATGTCCGTCCGTCTGTCCGTCCGTCTGTCCGTCCGTCTGTCCGTCTGTCTTTCGATAACTCTCGAATGGGTTAACCGATTTGGACCAAATTTGATACAGACATGTATCTGGGCAATGCAACGACCGAGTTTGAAGATGGGTTCGATCAGAAAAGTTTTGGACCGGTGGGGGTCATCGGAGTGGGTGGGGTATTACACACCAAAATTTCAAAATTGTCGTAGAAAGCTGAAATTTGACACAGAGGTTGCTAATGGCTCCTAATAGAAAAAAATGAGTTCAAGTTGGAAAAATTTTCATCTTGAGGGACCCTATGGGGTGACCCATACTGATTTTTCAAAATCGTCATATGAAGCTGAAATTTGGTGGAGAGGTTGCTTATGGGTCCTAATGGAAGAATATGACATGAAATTAGTGAAATTTTTATCTAGAGCGACCCTATGGGGTAACCCATTATGATTTTTAGAAATTAACGTAGAAAGCTGAAATTTGGACCAGCGATCCTTACTGCTTTCTCATGAAATAATATGAAGTTAAATATACTGAGAAACATGGGTTTACTAATCCTGGTTCGGGCTAAGCAAAGCTGTACTGATAGGTTTTTTACTTCCATGAATTTGTGTCCATGGATATTTCATAATATGCATTATTCTTACTCAATTTTTGTGTACAATAATGTAATTAAAATGTGTGCGCATTAGCGAATTTTTGTCAATATTTGAATGTTTTTCATTAAAACTTTGAAAGTACATGTCAATATGCATAAAGAGCATCTAAACATACATATTTCGACAAACTTCTTGTGAGCTAAATATTTGTTATATTTTTGTTAAACGTTTTTGCAATTTTTTGTAGCTTGTTTAATATTCTACATTTTGGAAATTTGTGTAAATGTACCTATTACATGATGGGGAAAAGAATGAATGTCGAAAGGAATTAAAACCTTAATATTGAAAATTCAGTTATTAATCTGATTATCTGAGTATCTATCTGATTTTGTAAATTATGCCTGCTGGAGAACAAATAGGTACACCACTTGCTTCAAACATGATTTCAATTCGTTCCTGAATACATCTATTCTATCAAAGTGCCAGTAACTACATGTTTGTCACAACTGCATATATACATATGGACATATCTATTTTTATGCATTTCGATGTGTATGCTTGTGGAAATTTACGCCAAAATTGGTGCATAAAGTTCTCGTTATAATTTTGCATCATGAACCGGTATTACGGCGCACATATATATGAAAGTTCCCTGGCCGTTTAGTATAAAATTTGCCCGTTTAGTTGGTTAATTAACGTAATCATTTTAGGGCCTTGGGCCGGATCCGGGGCATACATACATCTCTAATATCTACTCGTCTATCAGTGAATAGCCCTTAAAACAAATAAATTTAGCATTGTCTTCCCAATTAGTAATACTGAAATGATACTGGGCACGATTTAGGATGGCGCTGTAAGGTCTTTGTCTCAAGTTAAGACAATGCTTATAATGGGGAGGCTTCTCGTTTTAAAAATCAAGCCATACATATAGTAATCAAGTACTATTTAGTACATCAAAGTCTGCATAAAAATGCGATAATTGAAATTTGAAAGTATCACATAATATTTGATAATTTACACAGGTAAGCACTTCGGTCGGTATATGTATGTATAGCATACTGAATTTGTAAATTAGACTCCTGCAGGAGGCCGGCAATTGATTTACTCTAACCGGTTTCTGCCAACGTATTTATTTAAAAACTCACAAATTATATGCACGATAATTTGTGCAAAACAGTAACTTGACTTATTTACGACACGTACTTATCCAGTGTTTGACAAATATGTTTATTCATAGGGGATAATCCACCTCGTAGCACGGATTTCTGCAGGTCTCAATTTTGTTTAGATCAGTGCAAATAAGCTGTGGTGGTAATTATTTGCATGGTTGTGTAACCTGTCATTCATAAACATACATAAGAGACATGAGCACTTACTATTCAGGTTTTGTGGACTTTTAGACTCCAATCAAGCACTACGTATAAACGGTTGAAAGAGACAGATTGCATACCCACATACATATCCTGAAATACATGAATTAACTTGTCCACCTTATTCATAAGTACTAACATAACTGTACAACAAATATAATAATTCCCTAAGATGACAACTATAAAAATCGTCTCCCAAACTGTTACCTTTGTCCTCCTAAAATTTCCACTTTTAATAGCGGCACTATTCATCGCAACATTGATGAGACGAATTATCGCCCTTGGAGCCTACATTTTTAAGCGGGGCGTGTTTCTCGGCATAGTTCCTGTCGTTGGTTCAAGTTTTGGTAATAATTTTTTTCTAAATTGAAACATTAATTAAGGTTTATTTTTAATAATTACTTGTTCTTTTGAAAACAATAGGTCTTTTGCCACCTTTTCTCGAAAGTCTTTCAATGTTGTCACAATTCTTGAAGTTAAACTGTCCACTGGATTTCTAAATGTGGCAAAATTACGAGAAGAATTTCAAGCTAAGATTTTGCAAGCGAAAAAAGCAGAATTTTCTGGATTCCTGTACCCTGAACTGAAGTGTGGGTTAGTGGTGTGGTGGGGATACTATTTTTGGAAAATTTGCGATAAATTTGATATCAAGGAACAAATTAAATATTTGGAAGGTTTGAACCGTATTATTCAAATATCTTAACCTCTTCCGTGCGGCGTTTATTATCCCTAACTTCCCCCAAAGACGACAAAGATACTCATTGGCGTTACTACGGGGGCGCCAGAGATAATTGCCGAACACTTATCCGAGGCGAAATTAAAAATACGAATAATTCCCTAGAGACGATAAAAATCGATTTTAGGTTTTGGAACAATTGTTAGCGGGAGTCATGACTTATGTACCCGTCGTATACGTCCGTCTATCGGTCCGTCCGTCCGTCGGTCAGTCTTTCCAAGGACTTGAGATCACCAACCAGTGGTCGTAGAAGGTTGAGATTTGTGACATTCGTCATATTTGCATAGGTAACTAAAAATATATTGTCAACGACCTAATTAAATATTCTTATGGGGAACCCGATAGGGTGACCCCCACTGGTTTTCGAAAATCATCATAAATTTCAAGATACTTCTGTGAATTTAGGTATACCTAAAAGGATGACTTGCATTACTTTTTTAAGTTGATGAAAAAAGCTGAAATTTTTCATACTAAGAAATAACTATGATATGGTAGCTAAAAAATGTGTAGCCCCCAGCTGAAAATAACAACTTTTAAAAACCCGTATGGGTCACCCTCTTGGGTCACTCTGGTTACACTTTCCTCACTTTTTGATAAGGAACCTTTAAGCATCACCATGCCCAATTTCAGCTTTTGAAGATAATTTTTGAAAATCAGTATGGGTCGCCTAGGGTCACATAAAAATTTTACGAATTTCACCCATATTCTTCCATTAGCACTGCTATTTAGCAGTCATTAGCAACCTCTGCACCAGATTTCAGCTCGATGGACGATTTCGCAAAATCGGTATGGGTCACCCAATAGGGTCACCCGAGACGAAAATTTTTAGACGGACAGACCACTATGACTGGTACACAAGCCCTGACTCGGGCTATAAATTATGATTTTCATATGGACATCAAAGTATTATGGCAACAAAAGTCAATCGTCGTCTCCAGGACATTTTTTTGGAGTCGACTATAGTCGACCGTCGTCTCACGGGGATGTTTTCATTTATTCTCGGTCTGAGTTCCAATCCATTCGAGCAAACCCAATCGTGATACTCCCTGAAAAGTCAAATTAATGTGTTCAGTTACTTACACTGTACTGCGACAGAAGTCGTCTTTAGTCTCCATGGGACATTTTAAAAAGTCGACAATAGTAGTTTATCGTCTCTCAGGAATTAAAACAAAATGCAACTATAGTAGCCCTTCGTCTTCAAGAGGTTAATAAATAGGATGGTCGCTACAATTGAAAATTTGTGAAAGAAAAAAATCGTAAATATCCATTAGTTACCGAAGTCTTATCTCTGAAATTCAACATTTTAAGAATTTTGTGTTTCACCAGTTTTTCTTCAGTTTCGATAATAATTAATAAAAATATGAATCCCAAATTCTCTTAACCAATGAAGATTTAGGGGTTTTTCCCTTCGCAAAATTTCCAATTGTAGCGAGACATTTACATCACCCTATATTTTAAAAACTTGGTTATTCCTATAAAACATTAGATACCGATCTTCCCAAAATATCGGACTTGACCACTCCCGAAAATTGGAACAAACTTATCAACTACGTCACCTATGAGAGGTTATGGCACGTGGAGAAGCCACTCTGGGAGCTCCTCGTGATGAACGATGTTCTCACGAGGACTGATTCCGGTATGACGATACTTATCTGGCGATGTAGTCACGTTTTATGCGATGGATTATCAGTGTTGAAAATGGCGACGAAACTATTCGATTCTGAGGTCCCAAACGTCTTGCGACATCAGAGAAGTTTGGACAGGTCACGGATTATTTCCATGTGCAAATCTCCGTACAATTTTCTCTTGCAAAATGCCGCTCTGGAATCTAATGATACCCAGATTCCTAGGCCCATCAGAGAAGATTTTACTCCGCAAGGAAACCTCGTCACCAAGACGTCCGTCCCGATCGCAATGACGTTCCTGAAAAGAATTAAGGACGCGTATCGTGTCGACATTCAAACCATCCTTTTAGCCGGAGTTGCGTCCGCGATAAGAAATCATTACCGGGAAATTGGCCACCCAATTGATTCCGATGTCAAGACGGGTTTCATACTTCCTCAAAGCGCCACGCATCCGGGAGGATTGGTCAATAACGTGTTAGTAATGAATTTATATGCTTATAGTACGGTTGTCATACAGTGTTAAAAATCTGGTAGATGTGTACTCCGTACTGTTATTGATTTGGTAGTAAGAAAAAAATTGTAGAATTAATTTTTGAGGAAATTTATAGTGATTCAATTTCAAACGAACTTGCAATTTTTTTCAAGTCAACTTTTTTGTAGTAACAAAAATTAGATTTAGATTACAAGATCATAAGTTGCACATATCTCAAAACTCATGGGGTGGATTCAATTTTTAGAAATTGCATTTGAATACATTGGATAGGGGTTTAGTGAGACTAACAACTCTATGACGAAGATATGGGGCCTTAATATGTACCAGTTTTCGAAGAGTGTACATAAGGAGACCTTGATAAATTACGCAACGCAAGAGGGGGGTTTAAGCCTCCCATGATATGTGACGCATATTATATGGGGAAAGGGGAGGTCTAGAAAATCTCGATTTTTGCATTACATAATTTATGAACGGCCCCTAGCGTAAACAAAAAATATATATGTAAATACTTGCAGGAGAAGCCCCACCATTTTACTTCCCATTGGTGAAAATGATTCTGTAAGAAGACTGCAGCTAATTGCTGTACGGGTTAAAATGTCACACTCGCCGTATGTGCAATTAATTGGACAATGTCTTAACCAACTTGTGGCGACATTACCGCTCCGACTGGGTCGAAGTGTCGTAGAAAAAATGCACACTTTACGACCCGTCGTGGTAAACAATATTGTTGGGCCACCCAATAAATTATACTTATTCGGCCATCAAGTCTCCATTATTCATGCCGGAGTCAATATTAAGGCGGCGGAAAATCGAGGTTGGCAGAATTCAAGTTAGAATTATTCTTCCATTTTAATAAATGCAATTTCTTGCTTTCTTTTAATACATGTGTACATTTTTGACAGGATTTGCCTTCTATTTTTGCTTTTATACGTATCAAGACATCGGAAACCTGGAGGTGAGAGGATTTGACGAATATTTTCCAGATATGAATTTAGCCCCAGATAAATTTTTAGCTGATTGTGTCTCAGAGTGGAAACAACTATTTCGCTTCTGTGGCGGATACCGTGGAAGGAATAAAATAATTTAGATAATAAACCCCTTAATTCTTCTCACATTAAATCGTTTAAATAGCATTTTAAATTATAATTATTTCCAAATTTAGGCATATGTTTGTACTGATTGCATCTAATTCTGTCCAGCAAGGATTCACATATTTTTTTGTCTTTGTCAAGATCCCTAACAGACTTTTTTTCTACATATGTACATATGTTACTCAAATATGAAATCAATGTTTTCGAATAAAATTATTAGTCAAGACTACAGAAAAATTAGCAATTCTTAATTTGACAAGCAAAATCTTCCGCAACGCGTGCTCAGAGTTGGCAAAGTGATTATTTATTCTAAAGGTTTACATTTTAATTACATACATACACATACAAAAGCATGCATCAAGTCGAGTAATATCCATGGAGGTCTCCAAAAGTATGCTTAAAAAAAACTAGTGTCAATCCATCCCTAATCAAATTATAGGTAATCTGTAATTTTCAGAGATATTTGCATCGGAAGAGAAGAAAATATATCAAAGAGTTTTAGAATCTCCAATTATACTGTTTGTTTTTTCTCCTCTTAGGATGGAATTGGCAGATAGTGTTATTCCTCATTCACTAATTTTATGCTAATTAGATTTGGGATCGATTGAAATTATTTTGGCCAAACTAAGCATACGCTCGGAGACCTCTACTGTAAGTGCATGCATGCTAATCGTGAGATATGTATATACCTATAAATCTATGTATATACCTATAAATGTCAGAAGTCAAACACTACATAAAACAAAATGAGGTTGTATTTAGCACCAAATAGTAAGCATTACAGTAAAAAATATATACATAAGCTAGTAAAATATGAGAAGTTTTACATTTCACAGCATCAATTGCTCAAGCCTTGGGAAATTGATGCAACGGCAGAATAAATAAGTATTTGATACACATATTTACATAAACAGGTTTCAGGTACATATGTACGGACGTAGTTTGGCCCTAGAATTAACTAGTTATTAATTCATACAAAAATATTTACAATACAGCAAACCTTTCGAAAGCAATTACAATTTACATATTTAATTGTGAGGGACACATGTTTCATGAGAGTTTGGTACAAATTTAAACATCTACGTACGTATCTAATAATATGAATAAATTATATTTTTGTCAGCAATTGAATGTTACGTCAACCGATGAAAGGACGAAACCAGTTATCCCTATTTATTGACATAAGATAATTTAAGATAGGAAGATCCAAAGTTTGGATCTTCTTTGGTGGGTGGTTTGGATTCCAAACCACCCATAGATCGGAGTACTCCGGGCTTGGAGTACGTACTCCGGCCTCCGGAGGCCGGAGTACGCAGCTTTTTCTGGAGGCCGGAGTACGCGGAGGCCGGAGTACACGTGGCCAGCCGGAGGCCGGAGTACGCGGAGGCCGGAGTACGCATGGCCGGCCGGAGGCCGGAGTACGGAGGCCGGAGTACGCAAAATTTCCGATCGCATAGATAGGAGAATTCCGGGCTTGGAGTACGTACTCCGGCCTCCGGAGGCCGGAGTACGCGACTTTTTCTGGAGGCCGGAGTACGCGGAGGCCGGAGTACGCGTGGCCAGCCGGAGGCCGGAGTACGCGGAGGCCGGAGTACGCATGGCCGGCCGGAGGCCGGAGTACGCGGAGGCCGGAGTACGCATGGCCGGCCGGAGGCCGGAGTACGCGGAGGCCGGAGGACGCAAAATATCCGATCTATGAAACCACCCACTAAAATAATGACGTAATATATGGACCTTCCCTTACGACGGGTATGAGATTGTGTAAAATTTCATCGTCGAAAATCACGATTATGATCTTACGAATTGTAGAAATTATCAGCGGAAATGGGGTCGGTTCCGGACTGGGTCGAATTGCAGGGGGCGCCACCGGTTCCATTTTTTAAAAGGGTGCTGGGAACCTTAATCCCGCTATTTTCTAGACTGCAGCACGTGACTATGTACGAAGAAAAGTTTAAGCTGTTGTTTGTCGACGCGCTGGGGCTTAAGGTAGCCCCAGGGCAATATGAGATGGAGGCTAGCACGTGCCTTTTACTGAGCAATGCAGGTCATTTGGAGGATTATCCTAGGTCATTGCCACCGTTTGTGGTTAAAGTGCCAGGAATTCATATACGCGACGATGTACAAAAGGAGGAACTTGACCCGGTAAGAAAATTGGAATATTGGATTTGACAAATTTACATATGGTCATGGCAGAAATGCTGAATTTGTAAGACATTTAAAATTTGTGAAAAATATGACAAATAGAACAAATTCTCATACATAAATGTCCAATTTGTCCGTCATGCTTGTCATAAATGGCGGTCACATTGGAATTGTGACACATTCTATCATAGAATGTGTCATATTTGTCAATGACAAATATGACATATATCGGCTTGACACGGACAAGCTCCATTCCTAATCCATAACCAAATTTAATATAATTTCAGAAATTGGAAACAATCATCTCATCAAATACGACAGATGATAGCTTTATCTACATTAGTTTTGGCACCGCAGTGAATTCGGTCAGTTTACCGGTGTCCCATTTGAAAATATTTTTCCGTGCGATGGAAGCATTTCCGAAGATGAAATTTATCTGGCGATGGAAAGGTCCCATGCCGATAACACATCCGCCAAACCTTCACCTCATCGACTGGGTTAACCAACAAAAATTGTTATGTAGGAGTAATCGTTTCTCATCATTAAATATGTGTAATAGGGAGATTGTGAGTTAAGGTTTGTAAGCTAAATTTCCACACAAAGTCTAAATTTGCCCTTAGTACATCAACTATAGATATAAATGTTAACGTGCAGTCTACAAAATTTGCGAGAACGTGTAAAATTTCCTTCGAAATTTGAATCGTGTCTCACACTCAAAACCTAAAAGACTTATTACTTACCCAAAATGATATCCTTCGTTAAAATCAGCTTCTTAAAGTACATAAAACAAGGGAAATCGTACCAGAATTAAATTTAATGCAAATCGGTGTCTCTCAAACTTGGCGGGAGTCACAATTATGCTTTAGTTGTTTCAAAATTTTAGCGTGCCTCTGTAAACTCAAAATCTCCGTAATATTTTGATTGAACCCACAATGAAATTTTCTTTATAAATTTGCTGTAGCTCATCCAAAAATCAAAGGATTCATTACACAAGGTGTACGACCGAGTATGCAGGAAGCGTTTTATCTTGCCGTTCCCACAATTGTGATCCCAATTTTTGCAGGTGATGCATATATAATAGCCAAAAGTACAAATAGTTATGAATATTTATGCATCAAGTAAAAAATAGTCCATTTTGTCCCTCCCATATGTAGATCAGGACTACAACGCGTACAAGTATGAACATTTGGGCACCGCTGTTTACCTTGAGATTTCAGAATTAACCGAGATTCGACTAACTGATGTCGTTAATCGCACATTAACCGATACAGAGTAAGGCAGTGACTAATTAATTAATTAACTTATTGTATAATTCTATGGCAAAGGTAGTCCGCCAATTTTTTCAAATGGCGAAAAAATTTTCACCCATTGTACATTTTTATCGCAAAGTTCTAAAGTACCAATTGGCGAAAAAATGTCATATTTTGCAAAAATGGATATGTTAAATCGGAAAGATATGTGCTATCGGAAAGATATAATCTAACCCTAATCCATTTGACATGCGCAAATGCGAAATTTAAGTTTCGTCCACCGTTCTCTTAGAACTTTTCCATTTTCGCCAAATACGGCAATAATTTCGCCATACGGTACTTTTATGATATTTTTTTAGCATTTTAACAAAAAATTCCCGAGCAACCGTATATGTACATATAGATAATATGTATATGTACATATATATATTACACATATGTTAATAATTTTATGCGGTGTAGATGGAGAAAACGTGTCAATGGTATGTCCTCCCTGGCGAGAGACGTGATCGTGCCCCCAGTCAAGGTCGCTTTGTGGTATACAGAATTTATTCTCCGCAATAAAAAAGAGGACCTCAATCTTCTCAAACCTCTGACACAAGATCAGTATTGGTGGCAAAGGAGAGATCTGGACGTGTGGGGTGTCTTTCAGATTACGATTATTGGAATTTTTCTCGGCTTGTACATGTTGGCAAAAGCAATCTGTCGAACGATTTCGAAGTTTAGACTGAAGCTTAAACTGGAATGATATTTAGAAATATATAAGCACTAAAAATTTCTAAGTATTTCAAAGTTATTAGTTCCTTTCGAACAATGATGCCCACTAATATTCAGTACTGGCTTTTATTTAAACATATTTTTTGTTTTATATCTGAGCATAAATATAATTTTCCTATCCACATATGTTGTTAGGGTTAAATTAGTAATATAACCGACTCGCATAAAGTTTAATGAACCAATGTGACGAACTGGTGATTATTTCAGGAAACGTTGTTAGACTTCATGCACTTTTAAAATAATGGTTCAATAGAAAAAAATGCATGGATTCATGTATATATATTTCTTGAGTGTATATAAATTCACGTAGTTGCATGAATTTGTGACCATGCATTTTGCATGCAATTTACCAATGCGTTCTGTTCTTACTACATCATCGTATACAATATTATTGTAAAAGTGCTTGTCTCTTAACGAGTTTTTTGTAACAGTAATTTTAAACGTTAAAAAACTGACTACATACCTATGTAACTATGTAAGAGCTGCACGTATGTACATTATAGGTACATATAAATTTATATTAAGTAAGTTTGATTTTCAATGCAATTCATTCGTCTACTTTGCATACAAAATCCATCTATCATTACATATGCATGTAAAAAACTTCATGACGCACAGAGCCCACAGCTGCAAAATATGCCTGTAATTCAAATTACCATTAAATCACATAACACTGATAACGTAACTACTTACATATGTATCTATACAAAAAATTCTGACAGAGCTTCGCACATTTGTTACATGAGTTGCCATGCCAACAAACCCGTTGTCGTGAGTACAGCCAATATTTTGTACGTATTTTATACTGCACAAAAAATTGCTGCACTTCACTTCAGATACTGCCGCCAACAAATAGTGAAACCTGAATAATTAATTGAATTTCGACTGAATTTCGACATGGAGGGACTAGCATCATCTCCAAGTCAGGGTAAATATTTACATTTGTAACTATGTAATTGTATTGTTTATTATTTCATATGCGAGGTGTGAAGGGACATTCTTAAATTATGTAACGCTTCAAGTGGAGGGAGGGTTTTGGAAATTCCCTTATGAATGACGGAGGAGGTTTGAGACAAGCCTTACGTAACTTTTTTGTTTTGTCATCCTAAAATGTGATTTTCACAAATTACGGTTTTACATGATTGATTTGTGATTTTTGCCGTACTTTATTTATTCGCATTTTACCCTTACTTATTTAAGAACGTCCCCCTATTAGGGCATCCAGAATCGGAAAATCTTGAAAAACCGGTTTTCGATTTTTCCGGTTTTTCAAATTTTCGTAAAACCGGTTTTCGATTTTCTCCAAAACCGGTTTTAAACACCGGTTTTAAACCGGTTTTTGAAACCGGTTTTCTACCAAATTTTAAAAATTTGATAAATATAAAGTGGTAAAATTTAAAGTTGAACACACTTAGGGCATTAATTTGGAAAACAAATATTTCAGAACAATTTATTTTTGGACGAAAAACAAGAAATGACACATATTTAGTGGTACTAAAACAATTTTTATCAAAAATCGAAAACCGGTTTTTACAAAACCGTTTTTCTGGAAAATTATAAAACCGGTTTTCGGGTAACTCGAAAACCGGTTTTACAAAATCGGAAAAACCGATTTTGGATGCCATACCCCCTATGCATTTTTATTATCAAATCTTCCTTTAGCATTTTGTATACTAATTCTTGATTTGTAATTTTAGCCATGGAAGATCAGGATAACTCCGTTGACAAAAATGAAGCTATGTCGAAAGTTTTTGAGAACCCGTTGGTCAGTCGAAATTTTGAATTTAGTGTCTATTATTAAACAGTGAAACCTTTTTATGAAAGGGAGGGCTTGTCCGTTCCTCCGTCCGTTTCCAACTTATCCAATAATTTTGTCATTTCCTTCACAGATCCTCGACATCATCCTCGCCCAACTTAACAGGTTTGACTTGAAAACGTCCCGTCTCGTGTGTCGTGAGTGGGGCGACGTGGGTGCCACTATATTAGGAAAATCGTCCATTCTCCGAGTCAGTCACCTTTTCCGCTACTACGAATCAAAATTATACCAGGTGACTCCCCTGCACCAAAAACTGAAGCAGCACCTCATAATCTATAGCGATTTCGACCCATCCATTCCACTAAATAAGAAGGCCGACGTAATTATCAAACTGCTGACCCAGGTGTTTCAAGACCCACGTGAAATTGCAATTCGTGCCAGTGAAAAGACAACTGTCACCGATTTTTTTAATGCAATAAGCATGATGACCTCGACAAGAATTCAGTCCATCTTCATCGATACTGTTAGTTACGGGGACGAAATTAGGCCTCAAATGGATCTTAAAATTCCCGCTCAGCCTAGCTTGACATCACTCTCCTTCAAGGTTTATTCTAACGTCGCACCCAACAACCCCATCGAATTTCAACCCTTTCTCCAACTTTTGATCGACTCTGCACCAAATTTAAATTCTTTAGACATCTGGACATCTTTCTATCCGAATTTGGAGAAGTGCAGAAATCTAAAAGTTCTGAAGTTTTCTTTTAACCATTGCTACGATGCGCCTTATCCGTCTTTTAGCTTGGCTGATGTGGTCAGGATGTTAGTTCAGGTTAAGGATTCCGTAACCGAGATGAAATTGAGTTATGACAATGGAGTTGTTTACATTCCTCAGGTAAAGATGTGGATGTAATAAATACAGAGAGTGCCCCCAGATCTTGGAACAATTTTTGAAAATTTTTTCCCCGATGGCCTGAACAAGATAAACCATAATGGTTTTTGAAATATTTGATAGGAGCCAAGAAGTTACATCTGTGTCATTTTTGATAATGTCGAGTTGAAAAAATTCACAGATGTAATTCATTGGTTTCTCTAAAGTACTTCAAAAACCGCTTTTGTTTATCCTTTTCTAACTTCTTGCAAAAAAAAATCGCAAAAATTACTCCAGTAATCTGGGAACACTCTCTGTAATTTGTATGCCTCGCACATCCAGAATTGTAACGTTCCCGTGATGTCGAAACTTACCTCGCTCGCCATTCACGCTGTAAATGTGTACAAAATTCGCGACTTTTTTGACGAAGATCATTTCCCGAAATTGAAAAACTTCTCGCTCAGAAATAATTCAGTGGATTTGAGGATGTCAACTCATCTAACTTTGTGGAAACGACACCGAGGAGTGGAATCTCTTACCCTGACGATTGACAGGCCTTGGTGGGAAGACGACCTTGCAGGTCAAATCATACACTTATTTCCTGCCGTTAAGAAATTTGATTTGAAAATTAAGGTCTCATGTCGCATTTCAATTCATGAGGTTGGCCGAATGATGGCTGCGTTTCAAGTCTGGGATCTGGAAAAGGTTAATGTTCTCGTGCAATTTATGTATGAATCTTCCTACTTGATTGTAGTCCTTAAAAACATGTCGACTTGGAAGGGTGCGTGTTCTTAGATTTTAGTTAAAATATGTGCCTGAATAATTATTTAGTTAATGATTTCAGGCGTTAAACGTGTCCACTTCAAACAGGTTGACATCAAGGAGGCCGACTTGTCTGCCTCCATTCAAGACATCATCTTGCACAGTAGAGGACTTCAGAATGTTAAAATCTCGAGTTGTTTGGTACATACGTCTGCAAAACAATTTGCATGAATTGGGTTTTCTTATTTATATCTCGTTTTCTAATAACGGCAGGAACCGGAAATCGCTAGAAAACGAATCCAATCCATCTTTGAGGCTAGTGGTGTGCCCATTCAGTTCACATGAGGTACTTGCATCGTCGTCGTTGGCGTGGTGTCCATCCGCAAGATCACCATCATCATCCCCATCGCTCTACGCATAACCCCCCCCCCCCCACTATCATCATCATTAATTAAGGAAGTAAGGATTTGGGAATAAGGGCCCCCGGTGGCCCTTATGCAATATTTACATTCCTTCAGTATAAACAAAATTGTTCTTTAATCACGATTTACGTTAAAAGCAATGAAAATGTAAATACATGAGATTTCGTGTAGGATCCTAATATTTAGAATTACACTTCGTGGAAAATATTTATATGTACAGCTTAGCTATGTATTTCCAAGTCTTATTGGGTATTGCAGGCAATGGGGTAAAAATTATCTAATTTGATATCTACACATGAAAATATCTATCTATCTATATTATAAGCTGGAAATGTCTTTTGGCAACGGAAGTGAAAGTTATTTTCCGTGACGGAAGTGAAAGTGGAGAAAGTTAAGTTTCGAATGGCGCGAAAATTCAAAATAAGTTACAAATTCAGATGGTGGTTATCTTGGAGTTTTTGTTTGAAGTGGTTGTATGATGGTGCTTATCTGGGAGTGGTTGTCTTATGATGGTTATCTCGGGGTGAGGGTTATCCGGGGTGGTTGTCTAATTGCGGTTATCTTGGGGGAGGGTTATCTGGCAGGGGTTGTCTTATGATGGTTATCTCGGGGTGCTTATCCGGGGTGGTTGTCTGATGGTGGTTATCTTGATGGGGAGGGTTATCTGAGTGTTGTCTGATGGTGCTTATCTTGGAGTGATTGTCCAATGGGGTAATTTGGGGCTGGTTTTCATGGGGGGTTATCTATGGAGATTATCTTGGAGTGGTTATCTGCGATGGTTGTCTGATGAAGGTTATCTAACAGTGGCTATCCTGTCCACTTTACTTTAAAGTAAAGTAAAATTAAAGTGAAGTGAAAGTCAGTCACGGGTATGCAGGATTGGCCACTTTAGTCTAAAGTAAAGTAAAGTAAAGTGAATAAATGTAAATACATAAATATCCATACATATCTAAATACCAACACAAAAGCATATGTATAGGTATACATTTAAATACATGCGCACTGTTACCTCACCTCGACCTCATAATTCCTCCTGCTTCAACATGTACTCATAAACCAAAGGTCATCAACCAAGATATCGTAGTATCCGATACTCGTGCCACATATTTCAAAAAATATTTCATTTCAATCCCATTTCGTAAGCTATCTAGCGACGTTACAAATTCAATATTTATCGAATTTGGCAACATTGAGAGCAAAACTTTCCTTTTAAACTTATCCCTTCCATGCCATTTCTTCATCTGGCTGATCCAAATTTTGGAACCGATCGCAGCTTTGGCAACAAAGCATATTGCGTAAACCTCCATCACGGTTGTCATAGCAATCATGATGACCGACACCGTCACAACGAACGTGGAAATATCGTCAGGGTTACGAGCCGAAAATTCTTTCAAAAAATATACAAAACTCAGCGTTGAGAAAAATACTGCAAAAATATGATGCGTACAAGGCATTAACATCTCTCTCAGCATCTTGCTTTCAACGATGCTCATTATTTTCAGGGTGTTGTACATCTTGACAGCATTTTGGAACAATAGTCCTCCTCGAAGCCTCATCTGACCATCATTTCCCTTAATCGGGTCCAGAAACATGGTCCACACATTGAGACAATTAATACTGTACATCCATAACAGTGAGCATATCGCTATCGTCGAAGACATTATCGTGCCGCTCACCCAGACACAAACTCCGCTACAGATCTGCAATACTGCATTGACTACGGGCCCATGATGTAATTCGAAATTGTAGACCGCCCGTAACGTCGCGTACAGTGGATTTGATTTTGTACAACCCATCAGGAAAGCGAGAAATGGAGCCGTGTAGAAACAATGAATGCAAATTAATTGAATCACGACTGTGCACTTTTCCACAGCGCGGGTCACTGTAGCGGCGCGCTCGAATTTTGAATTTGGGAGGAATTCTGTGAAACCAGGGTAAAATGTGAGTAACAATGGAGGTCTCCCAGATTTGGACCAAACTAGCGTCAATCGATCACAAATATAATTAGTATGAAATTTGCAAATGACACTATCTGCAAATGCTCAAGTTTAGCAGAAATATTTGCATGAAAAGAGGGGAAAATTTGCCCTCAAGCGTAGCAAATTTTTCATTTTACAAATTTACATTTTCCCGCTTTTTTCCCGCTTTACATCTCCGCCAAACCCTACGCATTGGCACGTGGTTCCATCTGTCTATTTCATACTAATGACATTTGTGATCGATTGACGCTAGTTTGGTCCAAATCTGTTAGCATAAGTTGGGAGACCTTCATTGTCAGTTTTGATTGAGTCGATTGGTTTGAGCTTGCTGACGTTCAAACAAGATTTACTTATTTCACAATTTCATTATATTTAAATTCATACTATGAATTTCATAGTTGCTCAATTCTTCTCAAATTAATTGATTCACTACGGGGTACTTACCCAGAAACTTCTTTTCCATGACGACAAGTCCTTCAAAACAAGCTTTGTAATTGTCACCCCCACCCGGTCGGACAAAAGTGGAAGCAAATAGGATGAATACGACCAACATTCCGGTTGACATAGCGGTAAAAAATATCGTCATTTTCTCTTCTTTTGCCTCCCCAACCGTGAAGAGGAGATAGCAGCGTACCAAAAATCCAGAGAGGAGGAAAGTTGCTACAATCCAGATTAATTGGAACCCTTTATAACGCCAATTTTTCAGAGTTTTGACACACCCAGTGGTTTTGTCGAGCTCGAAATAGTACGCGAGATGAAATGTGCTACGTTGCAGGACGACTACAGCCTTTCTTAAAAGGTGGGAAAATATTGTTTCCAGCATTTTAAGTTAGAGATAAGTATATTTTGAGGGTAATTCCTGGAGCAAGAATTATAAATTTGAATTAGAATTATAAATTATTGAATTATAAAATTGTTGTTTCAATTTGATAGAATTGACGTACATATATATGTTTATGTATTATGTACTAATTCTTAGAAATTGAATGTCCATATAGCTACGGTTTAAATGCTTTAAAGGCATTTGTCAATTTTCTAAGGTTAACCGACAAATGTCGACGTAAAATTGTATTCTCGATGCATGTAACTGGCACATACTTATTAGCTCGCAATTTCAAAAGTGTAGCAATTTAGGGTCGCCACATGGAACTGTATGCATTTTCAACATATTTAGATTTCTGGAAATTGTGACATCGACATTGGTACATCTAAATATGTAGCGTTCATCCTAATTTTGACTAATAGGCGGGACATGATTACATATAAAAATATCTAAATGCCTTGTTGGTGAGTGCAAAATTTACCCAACGAGGTAATTGACAAAAGTAACGGTCCGCTACCCAGGAAGGAAACCACTTTGCCAAAACCCATCTTTAGGGCTTAAACCGGATTTGATATATAAATATGCCACTAATGTATCCATACATCTGACGAAATTTTATTTCAGTCCATGGACTGAAATAAAATTTCGTCAGATTCATGAATTTTACTGTATATGTTTTTCTAGCGTTGAAATTTAGGTGAAGGTTCATCGTTAACATAATTGCATAATATGAATATAAAAGATTTTATTTGCAAAAACTAACTTTACTTAAATTATATCAAAATAACCGAAATTAATAGCTAGTGATTACACTATTGAAACAAATTACGAATTGTGCAAAAATACCTTTTAAGTATAAATGAAAATACATTTATTTGTGAAACTACATATATAGAAACATCTAAGTATTTTCATCACCACAACGGTGCACTTCTATAAATATACGTTAATGTCTGTTTGTACCGAGCCGGTGTAGTAGTACCTATATGTTCTCAGACATGCAGTCATTTAACCCCAGTTTTCCAAGCATGCACAATTTTAGAGCCTATAAAATTTTTGATAGGTCAGAGGCACATTGTCCCCATGAAATTCAGCAAAAGCATGCATTTGCTTGCCCATGCTTATAAGTTCTGCTCAAATCTTACAATGCCAGTGTCCCCAGACTCCCCCCCCCCACATGACCCAACTCAACTTCTACTGCCACTGGATCGGCTTACATACGTCTGGCATTCAATATATGGCATTGATGTAATTATGCATATGTATGTATGTAAATGCATACAATTATGCACTGCATGTGTTCCAACTGCAACGTACTCGTACAATTAGTATACGTAGGTACATGTTTATGATATTCATTTCGCGACAAATCGGTGTATATTTATGCACTATAGAAAAGCCTGTCCATGCCACGCTTACATTTTATATACCTACTTACATTCTCGGCCGTTCGAAACTTGACTTTCTTTACTTTTACCTCCGTTGCAGACAAACATTTCCGGCTTATAATATACATACATAAATGTCTATACGTATATGCATGTTTGACAAACAAAAGCATACACTCTTAAGCAACTGGTCTTGATTAATTGCGAATCATTACTAGCCGAGTACATGCATATATGACTCTACCGGATGCTCTACAGTGTACACACATACGTACATATGTATGTACAAATGCACATACATATGTCTACAGTATAAATATTTCACACTTCGACTCCCTAAATCTACTTACATCACCAAAACATGTACTAATCAAACTCCTGTCATCAAAAAAGTTATCGCAGTATCCGACACTCGTTCCAAATATTTCAAAAAATATTTCATTTCAATCCCATTTCGTATGCTATCCAGCGAAGTAATAAATTCCATATTTATCGAATTTGGCAACAATGAATGGAGCAATTTCATTTTATACTTATCCCTACCATGCCATTTCTTCATTTGTCTGATCCAAATCTTAGAACCGATCGCAGCCTTGGCAACAAAACATATTGCGTAAACCTCAATTATCGTTGTTGCCGAAATAATGGTGACCGACACTGTCAAAACGAACACGGAAATGTCGCCAGGGTTGTGAGGCGACAATTCTTTCAAAAAATACACAAAACTCACCGTTGAGAAAAATACTGCAAAAATATGATGCGTATATGGCATGAGCATGTCTCTCAACATATTGCTCTCAACGATGGTCATTATTTTCAGGGTGTTGTATATCTTCACAGCATTTTGGAAGAACAGTCCCCCTCGCAGTCTCATCCCGCCATTGGTTCCCGTAATCGGCTCGAGAAACAGGGTCCACACGTTGAGACAATTAATACAGTAAATGATCAGCAGACAGCATGTCCCGGTTGTGGAAAACGCTATCATGCTACCCAGCCCGAAACCAAATCCGCCAACGATTCGCAAAACCAAGTTGATGATGGGTCCATGATGCAATTCGAAATTGTAGATTTCTCGAAGCATCGTGTACAGTGGATTTGATTTTGTACAACCGACCAGGAACCCGAGCAAGGGAGCCGAGTAAAAAGAATGCATGTGAATTAATTGAGTCATGATCGTACACCTTTGCACAGCGCGGGTTACCTTAGTGCCCATCCCGCACTTAGGATTGGGGAGGAATTCTGGAGAACAAAGAGTTAAATTAGATGTGCTTGATATTTATTAAATTTAGGCTAATGGATCATCCACAATGAAACATACGTATAACCACAATGGTTATATGTACATATTATTTAGGTGGTGGAAAATTTTGGTCCGATTGGACGTTTCAGCGTTGACTGTAAAACTGGGTTTACCTATTTAATCGTTTAATCGTTTATTTATTCGTATAAACTTCAACCAATCTGCGTTTATTAAAATCAGGCATCATTGATTGATTTGTTGGTAATCGATTAAAATCGATCAAATATTCTTACCCAGAAATGTCTGCTCCATGACAACCATTGTTTCAAAGCAGGCTTTGAACCTGCCAACACCTTCCGGTCGGATAAAGACGGACGCAAAAAGGACGAACATGACCAACACCCCGGTTGCCATGGCGGTGAAGAATATCGTCATTTTGTCTTCTTTCCCCTCCTCTGCCGTAAAGAGGAGATAGCATCGTACCAAAAATCCAGGTAGAACGAGGAAAGCTGCGACAATCCAGATTAATTGAAACGCTTTGTAATGCCAATTTCTCACAGGTTTTATACACCCTGTTTTTCTC